TTAGTGAGAGCCGACAATCTGGTTGTCTTGTTTACTATGAAAAAACGGAAGAGTTCGTTAGCAAAGATTAAAAGAAAGGAAATTCACCAAGTAAAAGAAGGGAAGACCTACTCGGCTCCCTAAAATGGCAAATGTCATCGTAATGGAAAAAGAAAAACTTTGTCTCATATGTCCCAACATTGCTAGAGTAATTGTGTATGCCTCCCTCAATCGTAGATCGCTTCGAGATGTAATAAGAGTCCTTGTCTTTGCTCTTTTTTAAATAGTACGAGCAAGCGAGCTCTAGCAACCGTTCTCGCCACACGCAATATACATAGCCATGCTATCATATACGCGTTGGGCGTCAGCTATAAAAGTGCGACCCCGAAGTGATCAAGGATCGACCTTATGAAGGAATGAAAGGGAATCAGCGCTCCACACTTGAATATATTCTCGGAGATCACAGCCATTCCCTTTGGCGGATTCCGAGCTGTATACATCCTATGCTGGTAGATGTCTACGCTAATTACGTACTGGTCAATCGCTTTCTGTATTTCCTCTCCTGTGGCCATTGACAGAATTTCTTGTGAAGGACCCGCTGTGGCGTCCTACACTAGCAAGCTCGTTCCCTCGTCTGTTCTGGTCGCTGAAGGGTCCATTTCTTCTATGGTCTAAAAAAGAGCAACATGCAGGGATTACTCAGTCGCCATACAAACTTTCGTATGATAATGTGGAAGAAAAGATAAACACAATGTGTCTTCCTTAAACCCTAGAAAAACCCTAGGAATCCTTAGGGACCACCCCCAAAGATTCAAACCCTAGAGGAAAGCTTATTCTCCGTTCGACCACCCACAAACACCCACCGTTATCGCATGGTTATCTACAAAATAGAAAAAAGAAAAAGTAATGGAAGGATCTTCCTTACCTCTTGGGTGTGGGGATTGAACTTCCTGTTACGAACGTTAAATGCACACCAACTCGAAGGATGAGAAATCTAGTCTCACGAAAACTTCTTGCTCTTTCTGAAAAAGTGAGTATTATGGCATTGCTTAAGGTGGGCCTGGGATTTTATAGCGGAGGAAATGGCTATTGGTTTTCCTGAAGCCAAGTGACATTTAGACGAAAACAATCTCTCGTCGTTGATCGCGACCACGTGTCATCAATCAGAGGAAAGGAGTAACTGTCACGCTTCAAGAAATCCAATCGTCGCTTCTCTTCGTTGAAATAATCGAGCGACGGCTCGTTTCCCTCCTCCGCATTAAATGCGCTCTCATCCACATTTAATGCTCTGATAAGGAATATCGTTTCAGCATGACTTATATTTAATACGCATGGTTGGCACTTATTGCGCATAGGACACGTTTGTCAGAGTAAAAAGTACTTCATTAATGGATTAGTTGCCGAGCGCAACGGATAACATCTGAAGAAGTCATTGGGGTAGAACACTCTTCGTCGCATGTCAGTTGCAGAGCAATATGACTCCTTGCGTTCAGCAAAAATATGCTAAGTATAACCAGGTCGTGGACCTCGGTTAAGATAAGAGGCGCATCAATACAGCACTAAATAGGGTCTGGTCCAGGTCGTCGACCTTGCGGAAGAAGACCATATCAGGTCACTCGTAAACAAGTGTCTTATGACCTCCTTGTAGCCAGGTCGGATCAATCAGGCGTCGTTCGGTACATATCAAGTCAAGGCATAATTATGAAGTTCTCAATGTTCGGTTCTCAAACCTTAAAAACTAAGGGACTTCTATTATGCCTGAAAAAGTAGGGTTGACGCGAAATCTTGTCAGCATGGGGTGGTCAGAACTTATGAAGGTTCCACGACCATTCAGATGCAGCCACGTCGCATGATGACATGAGTGACATGCCTCTGTCAGTGCAGTGGGTGAATGCCAGGTTAGCGGATGGTTGTAAATCATCCACGTGTCCAATCCCTACACAAGTCGAGGAAATCACACGGGCAGGTGAACAATGGGACGCAGAGAAAGATTTGCATGATACCCACCCACTTACAGATTTAGTAATCATTACCTTGATTCATCCCACTATAAATAGATAACTCATCTCTCATTTGCAGGATTGGCTAATTTCACTCTAAAATAGCATACTCTCTCTCTCTCTCTCTCTCTCTCTCTCTCTCTCTCTCTCTCTCTCTCTCTCTCTCTCTCTCTTTCTCTCTTGTATTCTCTAAGCCTTAACTCAGCTCGCTGAACACGACCTAACTTTACTCTCATTAATACAATATCAGTGGACGTAGGATTCGCCTTTGAGCATCCGAACCACTTTAAGCATTGCTCTTCACCCTTTATTTAACTAAATATTCTCATATCACGTGTGACTTCTAAGTCCACTTAGCATTTCTCATGTGTGAATAATTGATGTCAAAATCAAGCATCAACACAATTTATACTATTTTTAAGTTTTATAATATTATTAAATGAATGTAATATTTGTTTTATGAATTCAAATAAAACTTCTCGTGGGAGAAAAGTTGCTAACTTTAGTTATTAATAAATTAATAATAACTCTAGTACCGTTGTCACTTTATTCACTCATTAATATAAATACTATACTATTATTACATAGAACAAGAGAGGTCAAAATTTCTTGCTATATGAAAATTAAGCATGAGTTTCTTCAACAAAGCGATTATGATTTTGTTACTGAAGCTATTAATCGTGTCGAATATGGTGAGAATGTGCGTCTGAGAATTGGACCTGGAAGGTAGATGTTATTATTAGGGGTGTTCAGTTCCGGGTACCCTACACTTTTTGAAGGAACCGGAACCGAAACCGGAGTTCCGGTTCCGAGATACCCAAAACCAGAACCTATAACAATGGTTTCGGTTCCGGTTCAGGTACCCTGTAAATTACATGACCCCCCAAAAGTTTTTAAAATGGCAAAAAAACACTTAAAAACTTACAAATACCGCCCCACCTGGCATTTATTAACAAAAATAAAATTACAAATTATAAATTCAAAATTATAAACTCCATTACTTTGTAAAGGTAGATTCTCAAAAGTCAAACTAACTTACTTTAAATGTTATGAAATATAAATATAAATGTATTCACATTACTTTTTCTACAAAAGTTTTTATTAACCCCCCTAATCTTTAATTTTATTTTATATTAGTCTCGGTTCCTGGTTCTTGGTTCCGGTTCCGGTTCCTAACTATAGGAACCGAAATCGGAACCGCACAGTAACGGTTCCAAAAATTTGGAACCGGAACCTACCCATTGACGACTGGTTCTGGGTAGGAACTGGAACCAAACCCAGGGTACCCGCCGGTTCTGGTTCCAACCGGTTCTTTTGAACACCCCTAGTTATTATAATCAATGATTTGCAGAAAAACTCGAATCTGGCCATTCATTGTAAATCTGCTGCTGATGATCTTGGTGAACACGTACTCCCTTATCCGACTGTTTATTCTATTCATTTTAAGGAAAACTTTTTCGAAGGGACTCGATTCTATTGTAATTTCAAATGGGAGGGGGGTTCCCAGTGGTTTGATATCTACATTCAGAGTAGGGATTCTTGCGGACGATGTGTGTGAAAGATAAGAGAAACTGGTCCCTGCTTCTTTCTTACTGTTCATGAGGAAAAATGTTATCCCTGGAATCCTTAATCAATTTCTGCTCCGCTGCATGTAATAAGATTTTACGATCATGTAGTTGAATAATTATTGAAGTTATTTTCTATTGATACTTGATTTTGACACCAATGACCTCGCATGTGCAAAGTGTTAAGGAGTTTCAGAAATTACACGTAAAATGATTTAAGAGTTGATTATGGTGCAGAGGTGATATATGTTTGAAGAAACATAAATAAAAGATTGACAAGAGGGATTTTTATAGTGGTTCAAATGCTTGATGCTTATTTTTTACACCAATGACCTCGCACGTGCAAAGTGTTAAGGAGTCTTAGAAATTACACTTGAAATAATTTGAGAGTTGATTATGGTGTAAAGATGATATACGTTAGAAGAAACATAAATAAAATATTGACAAGAAATATTTTTATAGTGATTCGGATGCTTAAAGTGAATCTTACATCTGCTATTATTTTATTATTCTCTGATTATTTTTCTGATATTACTTATAAGGCGTACAAAGATACGATAATGTTTTGTTTACAAAGAGAAATAATGGTTGAAACTTACATTTGTGCCCAACTCTCATATATCCAATCTCTTTATTTCATGAAGAAAGTTGCTAATTTATATACCTTTGAGCTCATTGTAATGAAAGCTTTTATAAGTTGCTTTGACAAATAGAAAGCTCTCATTCATCCTATCTTTTATTTTGATAAAGGTGGGACATGTGTTATATAATATCTCTTTGAGACGGTTTGAGTTTTTGACAGCTAATAGCACTTTGTCTTTGAGTGTTTGTTGAGCTCTAATTGGTGATACCGGCATCAGTGTGTATTTTTGGCATAATACTTTCTATGCATTGATGTTTTTTTCTGAAGCCCATGCATAAATTAAATCTAGATTTTGATATTCTGTGCAGATTCAACACTCAGTAGTAGCCACATTGTTAGAGTCTTCTCATTTGATTTCACCCATGAACTAGAATAATTGAAATACTTGATCTAGTCTTTTCTTTGGGTTAATTAAACAATATTAAGTTGTAATTAATTATGTTGTGTGGAGATGGCATTGGCATTGGATTTGGTGCTAACGCAGGGCCACAACTCAGCACTCTATATATATGCTGCTTTAAATAGTGGTCCTTCGATGCCACCTGAGTAGCTACTTGCTAGGGAAAGAGCATCAAACTTTATACATAAAGCAATAAAAAACATATACACCAAGTTAATTTTCCCACGGCAACTTGGCCTATTTGCCGAAGGAATTCTATGATTCTGTCTATGACGTCGTCTTGAGAGCACCAACATATCTACAATGTAGCTTACTTTACTCTGTTTTGGCAGGTGGTTAAGAATCTTTTGAGTCTAACCTTAGATTAATTTTGAAGCCAATGCATGAATGGATTAAATATCGTACACAGGGAATGCTTGGAAAACTTCAAACAAAGTCTTTAAAGTTTTTCACATAATATTTGCGTAACATATGATATTCTCGTAGAAGCCAGAAGGCTGATATAGTTATAATCTTGTCAAATAAGCACAGCTAGCAAAGACTCGAGACATTATTTAAGATAAATTTGATTATTTAAAAAACTTGGCAGTTCTAGAGAGCCAAGAGTCTCAATTCATGTTGCTGCACGAGTGATCGAGGATCACTTCCACTTCTTGAATTTGCCTCCATGCTTGAATTTCCCGAGCTTTCCACGCTTGAACTTGCCACCATAATGGTGCCCGCCATACCCAGAGTAGCCGCCGTGTGACAAGCGGTGACCACCATAGGCAGCCGCAGCAGCAGCAGCACCCCCGGCTAAAAGTCCCCCCAGTCCACCATGCCCTGAAGATTAAGAAAGAAGTTCAACAACGCCCAGAAAATCCCAGGAGCACCAAATTCACAAACAAGATTCTCAAATATCCCACTGCAGAACCGATATGGCACACAAACAAAATCATCTCTAAATAATATGAGAATCATATATAATCATTAGAATTCAGGTTGACCAACAAAATATATGGATTAATGCAAACTAGCAAAAATTAATAAAACTAATTTTTTAATTTAACTAAAAAACAAAAAAAAAGCAGATGAGATGGTTCAACAGACTTTTAGAATTCTAAAACAGCTACTCATCAAATATGTATTCAAGAGCACTTATCATTTATACCTGAATAAGGTTGAGAATATGGGCCAGGTGGATAACTAGGTTGAGGGTAACCAGCTTGAGGATACGCGACTGGTGGCGGTGGTGGTGGGTAGCCAGCAGGCGGATACCCTACGGCCGGTGGATAGCCTTGTGGCGGGTAACCTTGCGGAGGATATGCTGTCGGGGGAGGAGGATACTGCCCTGCAGGAGGATATCCATAACCATGACCACCATAGCCATGCGAATAGAGTCCCTTATCAGTCTTGCCACCTCCCATAAGTCTAGTTCTGCAATAAAAATTATATCCTCAGATCCAAATGCAAATTTCCAATATAATCTTTGTGTATATTGTCAGAAACTAATTATCTCTTCCAAAATCCAAAGCATTCCCCTGCATGCTCTAGCTATTGTCAATTACTTCAACAACAAACAGCATAACAAAGAAACAAAAATCAATCTCAGCAATTTGGCAACAATAACTAATGATTAGACAAATATCTTGAACATATTACGTAGGGACTCAAGAAAATAATTGTCAGAGATATAATAAGAACAATAAGCTAACCTTTCGATAGCGTGATACCCTCCCGAAAACTAGAAAAGAAACACACCAAGAGAGCAACCGTTGATTTTATAATTTATAATACTATTCTTTGGGGAGGAGAGAGGCAGCAAATCTTTTTGGGAGTTGCTTTTGAGAGTGAACCTGCTTCAAAGTGATATCAAATAATATTATATAATTTTAGGAAAAAGAATATTTATTCCCTTCACTGTTTAGAATGAATATTATTCCATCACCAACAAATCTTATACAACTTTTTAGAATAAAATATTTGACGTTATCAAATATATTTTAAGATAATAGATTTTAACAAACCTTTTATAGAAATATTTGAATTATGTTTCAGGAAAAATATACAAATATATAGTATATTACTAAACCAAAAGTATATTACGAAAATATTGGCATGTGTTTTTATTACGCAATATTACAACTGAGATGTTTCATTTCCAATACATTATAACACCCATGTCTTGACAATATCGAAAAGAATTTCGTTAACTGGCGGTAATTTATAAATATTTTAAAAACTGTAAGTGTGAGGAGTGGCACGTGGGCGAGTCCAACAAAGTTGCAATGAATGACGTATAACAGCTGATCATTTAGACCACACTCACACTTTTCAAGGTCTGTTGCACCACCAAATTGCAATACCTCACTCTTTCGTTTATTTTATCCCACAAAAACGCGCCTTCAATACATCGGGAACGGGAATGGCGATGCGAAGCTTAGTAACGGGACGTCGGAGCTCCGTTTTAACCGGAGCCAGATGTATGTCATCCTGGTGGCGGAGCTTGGAGCCCGCACCCAAGGATCCGATTCTCGGCGTAACGGAAGCTTTTTTGGCCGATCCTAGTCCTGACAAAGTCAATGTTGGAGTCGTAAGTTTCTTTCCCACGCAAAATCTTACGAGCATTTAATTAATGATTTTCTTTTTAATTTTCTCGGTAACCAAACGGAATCTGATTCATTTTCAATTTTTGACTGATGATTAAGGGCGCTTATCGTGATGATAACGGAAAGCCAGTTGTTCTTGAATGCGTCAGAGAAGCTGAGCGGAGGATTGCTGGAAACTTGAACATGTTAGTGGTTATCACTTATCACTATCTATTTCTTAATCAAATGGAATAGTTGATTTTTAACTGTTTAAAATGAGACGTGACTAGTTGATGAATCTTTTATCTCTCTGTTTGCTTTTCGTTTTATGCTTTTGTACTGGTCCCATCTAGCCTAACTTTATGTACTCCACTGAATGATTCGATTCCTTTCTAATATCTTCCGTTGCTACATGCGTCGAATCATTATCTTGTTCACCTTTTTTTCTGAAAAACATACATGATTAGCTTGGTGGAATATAAGGAACGGAGATTAAATTAGCCAGTCCTGCTGATTCTACTGAGGATTTTATGATCTAGATATTATTATTGTTTGAATTTATAATCTGAATGTCGTATCGTTGAACTTGGATGAATGAGATTAGATTTTTTTTTTTATTTGTGTGTGTGTGTGTGTGTGTGTGAAATCCGCCTCCATGGAATTGAGATTCAGCTTGACTGAAACCACCTAAATCAGAATGATTTAAAATTGTGCACATCATCTTCTGAAATGAAATTTTTCACTACACTAGATCTTGAGCTGGCATTAGTGTGCACTGATCAATGATCATAATCTATTTAAATGAGATGTAGTTTTCATTCTTCTCTTTGGGCACCTTTCCTGATTTGTACACTTGGAATTAATCTTTTATTTTTGAACAATTCAGCTTCATGATTGCTGAAGATCATGTAAGTTAGTGGAGTTTTTACAGTGTGGTAGTGTATGTCCTTGGGAGCTCTGCTAACAATGGCAGAGAACCATGGCTTTGTTTTGCCTCTTGGAGAATTAAAACACTTTGAAAATGGGAAATGCATATGTACAGATTTATACTTCTTGATGAGTAATACTGAACTAATCAACTTCCATTCCGTATCACCATAGCAGCCTTGCCACATCACTTTTATGATATTTACAAAATGCAACAGCCCTTATCTTTCCAATTACTTAACATGTTTATGCATGGATATGTGACTGTAAATCTGTTGCTTATATGTGTATAAGAAAATTCTCAGATGTAGACATACACACTTTTTTTTAATCCAGACCTCCATTAGGTGACGGTAATAAACGACAAAACATATAATTTCACAGTTTTCAATATAAAAATTTTATGTCAGAATTTGTGTTTTAGTATTAGGTGGCAGAAATAAACCGTTTACTACTGCTAGAACACGAAATTTGCATTTTAAAAAAATACAAACTTTCACTGGAGATAATGTTGTCAGTTTTGCTGTTCTTGAAAGCTTGGTTGTATTGGCTATATATTCATTCAACAATTGGATTCACATATGATAAAAAAATTAAATCTTTTTGCCACCGCTTATAGTCGTTATAATCTTTGTTTTCACATCATGCATTTTGTTGGTCAGGGAATATCTTCCCATGGGAGGGAGTGTAGAAATGGTGGAGGAAACGCTGAAACTGGCCTATGGGGAGAATTCCGAGTTCATCAAAGATAAAAGGATAGCAGCTGTGCAAGCTCTCTCTGGGACTGGTGCATGCCGACTGTTTGCAGACTTTCAGAAGCGTTTTCATCCTGATTCTCAAATCTACATACCTGTCCCAACCTGGGCTAAGTGAGTAATGTTGCCCTTGCCTCTGACCCAACCCACCCAACCCCCCTCCTTTTTAAAATTGATGACATGTTCTTCTCTTTCATGGTCAAATTTTTTTTACAAGATCAGAAGATTTCTGTTTCTTCTCCTTGTTTTGGTTTACTTGTAAGGCTTTCCAAGTTCTGACATGAGATTTTAACAGCCACCATAACATCTGGAGAGATGCCCATGTCACTCAGAAGACTTTTCATTACTACCACCCGGAATCCAAGGGCTTAGATTTTGCTGGACTGATGGATGACATTAAGGTGTGTAAGGACATTTGGATAGAGAATTGGCTGCAAATACCAACTATATAACCATTGTACTTTTGTTTCTGGGTTTGACTCTCCTTCCACTGTATGAAAATCCACATTGCTGACATTCTGAATTTGCTGTGTTATATGTGTGCCTCTTGTAGAATGCGCCAAATGGTTCATTCTTTCTACTTCATGCTTGTGCTCATAATCCTACTGGAGTGGACCCTTCAGAGGAACAGTGGAAGGAAATCTCTCACCAAATCAAGGTAAGCACTTCTTGCCTAGGATATTATGTTCACCGCTTCTTTGCCTGATATAAACATTCTGTTCATTTTCAGGTAAAAGGTCACTTCCCCTTCTTTGACATGGCATATCAGGGTTTTGCTAGTGGTGATCCAGAGAGAGATGCCAAGTCCATTAGAATTTTTCTTGAGGATGGTCATCTAGTTGGACTTGCCCAATCATATGCCAAAAATATGGGACTCTATGGCCAAAGAGTAGGATGCCTTAGGTACTTTCTTATTACTTTCTTGATCAAATAAACCAACTACATATTATATAGCATTCTCTCAGGTTAGCTAGACATGATTGCATTCATACAAATTGCTCTTTTGATAGCCTGTTTGTCTATTCTAATGTTTATCTCAAGTATGTTTTATTGTCTTAGGTTCAAAATGATGTGGTAATTTGTTATAGGTTACCATATCACATTTCTAAATTCCTTTAAAGATAAGATTCATGTTTCATATTGTTTTTTTAACTTATATAATAGTGACTAACATTTGCCTGTTAATGCTGTGATGTAACCATTACAGTGTGCTATGCGAAGATGAAAAACAAACAGTGGCTGTTAAAAGTCAGTTGCAGCAGCTCGCCAGACCCATGTACAGCAATCCACCCGTCCATGGTGCACTTATAGTCTCAACTATCCTTGGAGATCCTGAGTTGAAGAATTTATGGCTCAAGGAAGTGAACGTAATTTACCATAACTGGGCTTCCTTTTCGTTTTTTCTTTTAGATTTATTATCTGTGTGGAATTCTTTTCACTTTTAGGTTGTATTAAAATATAGATGTGACAAAAATCTATTGAAGGATTTAATATTCCAGTTATCAAAATAAATATTTAGTTAACAAATGAACAACTTGGGCATGTATTAGTATATTGAAGCCCCTTACAAATTCGAGGGCAGCATGCAAGCATTATTGATTTAATTATGAATATGATTTAGTGGCACAAAAACAATACTGAGGCAGCTTATTATTTTTGGACTAGAACATAAAGTACTTGAAGTCTTCCAACCTTTATTGTTTCTTAAGATGTATATTCCTTTCGTCTGTAGTATGATTACATCCAATCCTTTACCAAGAAATTGTTTGCCAAATATCTAGCCTTTTACTCACAAAAATGAGCCTACAAGTCAGCAAAATAGTTATCATTTGTTTCATTTCTTATACACGTTCCTATTTGAGATGCATTAAAAAGTTCAAATCTATGGAGTATTTCCTTCTCTCATAATCTTTTATGCACTTCAATCATAAATTGTACAAAAAGAAATTGTGTGTGTGAGAGAGAGAGAGAGAGAGAGAGAGAATAGGAAGGTTCCTCTAAAGCCTATCAAAGTTGTAAGCTTCTATCAAAGAGGATAAGATACTTTTTCACCAGGTGTTTTATGTAAGAATGTATTTGGGTAGATTTACTTACAAGGTTTATGCTGTACCTGAATATATTTAGCAGCTCCTTTCTCTTTCAAAGATCACTTGGATCCATGTTATGCGTTTTTATTATGTGAAAGGAATTAATCACCATCTTACTCTTCAGGTCATGGCAGATCGAATCATTGGAATGCGAAGTGCTCTTCGAGAGAACCTTGAGAAGTTGGGATCACCCTTATCATGGGAGCACATAACTAATCAGGTATGGTAGAATTATTTATCTTTATTTCTTATCCAGTATTTATGTTTAATTTGTTTTTGTTAATTACAACTATACTGGATTTGCAAACAGATTGGTATGTTTTGCTATAGTGGCATGACGCCAGAACAAGTTGATCGCTTGACAAAGGAATTTCACATCTACATGACCCGTAATGGTCGTATCAGGTATTATATCCAGCAACGAAGTTTTTTATTCTCAAATGAGAATGTCTTGCTGATGATTGTTGCTAATATTTATACCACATAATGCAGTATGGCAGGTGTAACCACAGGCAATGTTGGATACTTGGCAAATGCTATTCACGAGGTCACAAAATCTGGTTAGTCCCGGTTTAGAAGTAGCATCTCATTCTTTTGGCGGCCATATATATTTGCTGAGGACTAATGCAATAAAATTTTTGCTCTGCATTTAATTAGAGAAGGAACAATAAGATTGGGCAGCCTATACATTTGATTGTTTACAATTTATGCTTCCATTCTTCCGTGATTTAGTGGAAGAGTTAGTCTTGGAAGTATCTGGTTTTTGTAGAATAAATTGATCCTTGATCAACCCTATTTTTGCTATGAGCACTGTAGCTCAAGCTCCTTATTCTTCCATATATTGGATTTTTTGTTTAAATAAGTATCCTTTCATGGCCGTACTAATTCTGTGAAACACTATAGTCTAATGGATCAGTAAATCATATTGGAACACACGGGATAAGCAGAAATGAATCCGGAGAAAAATAAAACCATTAAAACCGGCAATATCTAAGATCAAGTAGCAAACCGAGTTCGAGTTTCACACAGATTTAACAGCTCTTCTTGTACATAGGTAAACCATAATATAGGAGACACAAGGTTGTGTCCTTCGCATTTTCCTTGATATTGTGCGATTTGCCTGTCAAATATTTGGTTTCTCAGCACAGTTTAGAAAGCAAATTCTACAAAAGCACAATCTGCAAAGGAATTGAAAGAGAAGAGAAATGGAGACGTTGGATGATGAAATCTAGTTTCCATTCAAAGACAGCATGAACATAAGGAGAAATAAACACAAAGTTCAAGTGAAAAAGCAAGCCAAACTACTAATGAGCCCTTGAGCTCCTGCTGGGCATTTGGAGCGCCTACCTAGCTAGACATGAATAGAGTGAGTCACCTTTTTATACTCCTAGCTTTCTCAGGTCGATCTTTACTATCAAAACAATGTACAGAAGTAGGGAAACAGCATGTTTTAGCTAGAACGAGACATAGTTGACAGAACCACCAACTTCCAGGGTTAAGCCAAAAAGCCACTATATGCATACATCTTTGCAGGGCGTGAGAAAATCCACTGATTACGCCAGAATGCTTGAGATTATATATTGACTACAAATAACTCCCTCCATTACTTTACTTCCATCCACTAACTGATGACGCCATCCTTGTTTTATGTCATTATATTTACGTTCCAGCTGGATGAGGGAAGCTGAGACCCATTTGCCGTCTCACATGCTCCGGTATCAGCCTATTGATCAGTTCAGGTGAAGCTCCGGATAACTGTAATTAGTTTGAAAATAAAGAGTTGATCAGAAACAAAAAATTGAATCCAAAGAATTAAAGTAATTTACTAAACATATGTGTAGCCCAAACCATTGACCACCGACATCAATTTGAATGGATATCCACATCCACATCCATATCCATATGAAACAACTACTCCCACAGCAGAGGTATATTATATTAAAAAGGATTAATAGCAACATATAACAGACAAAGGGCGGTAACAATACTAATAATACTAGTTTCTAATATTATATACAAGAAATATCATCAACTACCGAAGGACACAGTCCAAAAACCATGAGACATCGCAAATATCAGCCACTGCATGCCTTTGTGATTACGAATTGACAGCCACAAGGGCTCAGATCGTCTAGATTAATGCATTGATGGTCCTGTCTCTGACTTAAGGTGTGAGGACATTCAACAGGGTGTCCTTCAGGACATAAGCAATATGCAATTGTACATTCTGAGGTCATTAAAATGCATGATGAGCAGGCAACAACTATAACTCCTACTTCTCACATAGAGCAGTTTTATAAACAAAATTAATGAATTGGAGACATACTTCCTGTTTAAAGTTGAAAAGAGGAGGTAAAGGACGACCATTTGGAAGGCGGGCATTGGGTTCACGAAGCTCATCAAAGAAAGGATGTGCACATGCCTCAAGCTGCAATAACAAAACAAAGTCAATCAGAAAAGGGTCACCAAGAAAAATAGTATTTTATATAACTATTGAACTGGACATAATAGAATCTCAATCACACAGAAACCACAGCTGAGACCCACAATATAAGACACTATACTGTGGTGGGATTGAATAATTTTTATCAGGAAGTCATAACATCAACCAAACTTTGATGATGAAATGGGCTTCTAGTAGAAACAGATTCCATCTCCATCAATAGTTCAGAAAGTCCAACTCACCGCAGTACATCGAAGACTTGGTGAATACTGAAGCAGCCGTGAAGCAAGGTCAATTGCTTCAGGAGGCATTCGTTTGTGGAAAACCTGAATCAAGGAACATTGCAATAAATACACAAATAAAAGAACTTACTGAAAACAAAATAATATTGTTGACAGTTACAGATTGGATTGTAACCAAAGAAACAACTCCTGTCAGTAAAAGAAAATGCAACATACATAACAATTTTAGAGAATCAAAAGGAGACCCAAGCTTTTAAACAAATACATTCACGTTTAGAATGCTTGATTATTTGCATGAGAGCTCATGTGTGCATCATTAGTGAGTCTCTCCTATGCATCAGAAAGCTCCATTTTGGAGACTCTTATCTCCCAAATGTAAAACATTTAGACAATGCAGGTGATATTACAGCTTAGTAACGACTGCATCTTTACCCCATAAAGATCTAATAATCGCACACTTATGCAAGTAGGACTTGCACAGTTGTAGAACTAATTATGAATTCCACGAGTTAAAATGCCATAACACACTGAAGGCGCTAATGAACCTAAAAGATTAAGCTCATAAAAGATTGACTTGTAAGGCTAATTTTTCTTCAAGTTAAAGTGCTATAGCCCAAACCATTGACCGACACACTGAAGGCGCCAATGAACCTAAAAGATTAATCTTTATTCAAGTAGAAGCTTTATCCTGCTATTGAATTTTTAAGTCCATTCACATAACACCATCAAGCCATTTCCATGTCAATAAGAGAAATTAGTTAATTGCATACCTTGTGCCAAGGGTGGGCTTTAATCTGAGGAAACCTAAAATCTGTATAATTTGGATTCATGCATCTAATTTCTTCTCGAGTTGGAGTACCAAGAACCTACAATAAGGCCACTCAGACATGATCAGATGACTGTTTGAGCTGTATAAACCTCAAAAAATCAAAGATTTATGAGCTTCACCTTGATAATCTCCACAAGTTGGTCCACTGCATTTTCCCCTGGAAATAAGGGCTATGAAAATAAAAATATGAAATCAGCAGTAAAATAGACAATTTAAATGAATAAAACTGAAGAATAGCTTACAATATAAATTTTAAAAGCAGTAGAGTCAGGCAGTGTAAAACTTGCCAAGAAAGTCACTAACCTGGCTTAGTAGAAGCTCAGCAAGGACACAACCAGCAGACCAAATATCAATTGATGTTGTATATTCGGTTGCACCAAATATGAGCTCTGGGGCTCGATAATATCGAGAGCATATATATGATATATTAGCTTCTCCCTTGACCTGATACCATGCCAGAAAAGAGAAGATCATTCAAACAAAAGGATCAATCCAAGATTACTTCAGCTTATCAGTATGGGTGAAACAGCATTCCAACAGATATTATTGGCTGAACAAACTTATCCATACCAAAAAAAAAAGAATAAAAAGAACATGCAGTAAATCTGTTGCCGCAACAGGTAGTTGCAAAATATTTGTAATAGGACTTTATAGATGAGGTGGACATCACCTGAACCCAAAAGCTTAAGCCAACAGATCAAGGGCTGACTCCTATATAAGTCCTTCATTTATCTTACTCTCCTTATTAGGGATTTACTTTTCACACACTTACAGGTATCAAAAAATACCTCCCCATGTGTCAGTTAGTGACAAACTCATTGTTATACAAGAGCCTTTCAATCAACCACATGCGCAACACTTAACCAGTAGGATACTGCTCTACCATGAAGCGAAAAAACCATGGACGTCCATCACTGTTTGCTCCAGTGTGAGCGGAAAAGATCTACTCATCAGCTCTCACCATGGAAAACGGGTAAAGAAATGAGAGTCTAAAAGACTTGCTACCACTTGCGCCTGGCCAAACCATTCAGCCACAAGTTAGTGCAGTGGCCAGCAGGGGGGTCTTTACACCAGAGCTTAAAAGAAAATGTTCTTCATCCCAAAAGCTTGGACCAACGGATCGTGAAACAATCCTCTTATTTAAATCCTTCACTTGTCTTAATCTTTCAATGTGGGATTTACTAACACATACCCACTCATTTTCAGCAAAACTATAGGGAAGTGAAGATCTTCTCTGTCTCTCTCTCACTCATATACAAATGGTGATTTCCATGAAATGGCACTGGCCTGTATAACTAAATAAGAATGCATTAAATCCCACCAACCAGCCATGCTATTCCCTGTTTTATTGAGACTCTGATAACAAGGAGATGCACATAAAACAACATTCATTATATAGATCCATGACTGGCATGTGAGGGCATCACTATGTGGTTTCTAATTTTATTGTAATATTTAATGAAACATTTGAAAGAGCTAAAGGGAGAATGACGATGAGCACATACCAAAACTTTTGCACTTCCAAAATCACAAAGTTTAACCTGGTGGGTGAGTGGATCAACCTACAGAATGTACATAAATATAAGGTTGAGAAAAATAGTTATAATCACTGAACAGATGCATATAAAGGTCAACATACCAAAAGATTTTGTGGCTTCACATCCCTGTGGCAAACCCCAGGAACAGTATGGATATATGCCAGCCCCCTAAAAATCTGAAACATAACTTCTATTAAACTATCAAGATTTAAGAAGGAACAGAAAGTCCTGAAAAGAGAATTGGGGAGGAAAAAGTCCATACTTGATATGTATAAAGTTTCACATAGATGAGGGGCATCCTCTGACTATAATGCTTCAGAACCCGGTACATAGTCTCAGGGACATACTCCATGACCAAATTCAGAAACAGTTCATCTTTACTTGTTGTGGAGAAGAAACAATGCTTCAGAGAAACCACATTCGGGTGATCCATCAAGCGCATTAACTGCAGCTCACGATTTTTATACCGCCTGTCCTGCAAAACCTTCTTTATAGCCACTGTCTCTCCAGTCTCCAAGCATTTTGCCTTAAAAGGGTTCACAACAGAGACTCAGGTCACGAGATTAGGGAGAAACTTAGCTGTAGTGAACTAATAAGTCGGTAGTCTGTACCTGGAAAACAATACCAAAGGATCCAGTGCCAACAACACGCTCTGCCATGTAGCTAATGGTCTGCAAGGAGCAACAAAGGAAACACCATCAATAAATGATGCCACTTAAGCAAGTCATATTCTTAGACAGAAGCACTTGTTAGGACTGAAAATAGACATACTATATCGAACTACAATTTTTTATGTAATGTTAATCATTCATCATTCAAATTAATCCTTGAACTTCAAAAAACGAAAAAAATCATAACACAATTTATGCTTGAAGAGAAGTTAGAAACATAGTTTGCAGATATCTTCAAAGCCCCAAAAAAGGTAACAAAAAACAATTCCTAACCCGTTTGGGTTCGCCATTTTTGCCTCCTATTGTGGTAGATATAATGTGACCAGTGACTGCATCATTGCTCTCAATAACTGCAGCTGACATTTCCTGCAATTTTTAGTAACATAGAGGATTAACAAAGGAAGAAATGACAGCCAGCTTACAAATTCAATAATTAAGACACTTATTCCTATCTATTAATTGCATGCCAGACACTTGTTTAGGCAAAATTGCAGCCACAATAACCTGTAACAGACAAGAGTTAGCCACCTAAAGAAGAAGCCATACTTGACAGGAAAACCATGCACAAAAACCATGTGTACAATGTGCACAACATTCTGTTAACAAACATTTACAACATTAATCTTTTTCCAATAATCTACTCCCTGCATTTCTACCACATCCATTAATAATGCATGTAAACACATTTATGTAGACAACTATATGTGTGAGATTTTTAGTGAGTTGCTGGTTTTGACACCCGGCGGGCAATCACAACACTTGATTTCTTTGTTGAAATCTAAGAAGCAATCAATAAGGATCAACATATATCATCCATTTATCAACATTTAAAAGCATAAAACAGAGAACAAACAAAATGGTAATTAATGATAACAAGTCGATACATTAAATGGACTGAAGATCAACCACAAGCTTAAGAAAGGCAAATATACCATAAGGTAAAATTAAAAGATATCTTGACAATGTGAGATAGAAGAAAGGCAAAAACAAAGATCTTGACAGATATTTTAAGTATAATAAAAGCAACATTTAAAGACCATCAATCACAAGAAAGAATCACATGCCATGTAAAGCTTGCATCCCAAACAAGTTACTGTGACAAAAAAATCAAAGAACGTTCACTTGATGAAGCAAACTGCTACAGATTGAAGAATAATCTACCCAAAGATAAAGTAAATAAGCAAAAAGTTTCACAGAAATTATAACTGTTTAGAGGGGGAAAAGAAACACCCGCCTGAGAACAAACATAAGCTTGTGAAAAATAGGAGATCTAAAAACCCAAAAAGAAAGTACCAAAACTCTACAAGTAAATTAAAATCCCAGAAAACATAAATAACCAAGAAAAATCGAATTACTTACAGAAAACTTAAAACACTGATGGGTAGCTGAGTAAACTCAAGCAGTAAAGACTATTAAGGCTCTTAATCATAAACTTCAACAAATAAACAAAAGCAAAATTCTACTAATTGCCTCTTATCCAGCAGTAAAAAAAAAAAAAAAAGAGTAAGGAACTTCCCGTTTCTCCTATGCTTGACTTTCCTAAATTATCATATCAAGATTAAGATCCCTAACATAAAACTGAAAAAACAAAATAGCTAAAAGAAATGAACAGTGTGAAACAGTACACTTCACAAAAAACAGAAAACAAAAATAAAAATAAAAAAGGGCAACATGAACCTCAAAGTCAGCACAATCACAGAGAGAGAGTAAAGAACAACGAGGCAGATCGCCTAAAATCCCAGTAGAAACAAAGAGAAGAGTAGATCTAAATTCAAAGCCAACAGCAAAAAAAGAAAAAGAGAGAGAGACCTTGTCGGAGTCCAAATCGGAACGTCGTACTTTCATAGGGTCGTTGTCCAAGTGAGAGTGTGGTTGCGGTTGCGGTTGCGGTGGTGGTAGTGGTGGTGGGTGAAGCTGTGGAGGCTGAGGCCCCAAAGGCAGTGAAGCCATGTGGGTTACAGCTACTTGCTTGCTTTCTCTCTCCTCTTGTCTCCCTTCTTTTCTATTTTGGTTTTTGTTACTTCACATTTTACATTACATTTCGTTTCATTACATTAACAAACAAACAAGACAACACTGCTTTTTGGCTTCACCCACGCGATTGTTCAGTGCTGTGCTCTCCACGCACCAATCCTCTTTCTTGTTTCTTTTCCTATCTTTATCCGTTGGTGATTAATTTTTGAGCTACGTTCATTAATATTGTTGATCTATTCATAATCTCATTTATTTCATTGTGTTTAATTACGTAATTATCGGATTTAAAAAAGTCTTTGGGTAAGTAATCAGGACCACTAATGTACCGTTTAATGCATTAACTTATGTTTTATAAAAATAAAATAACTAATCATTCATCTTCAAACAAAAATAATGATTTTAATAATTGGGATATCGGAATTAATTTATGTGCATTTCAATTAATCCATTAAAATCTTAAAATTATCTTCTAATGGTTTTCTTATTTGTTAATTACTATATGATAATTGATATAAAATTAAAATATTTATTATATATCAAGCTAGATCCTCGTCTAAAATAGGGGAACAAAAAGAATCAAATAAATTTTGGTTTATTAAACAGTTTTTATGGTATGTCACATTTTGCTAGGCGTCGTATCTCAGTCTAGAAATAGAAATGGAAGGACAAGAAAATAGGAAATGAGTAATTTGACTGAAGCAAAAATTATAGAATGCCATAATAATGTCCATTTCCAAATTCCAAGTTGTTCATTTGCCCAACCCAGGCTTAACGTTGAGATGAGAAAGATTTTGTCTACCATGCATTGCCAAATCTTTATTACAAGACTTTACTACTCATTACTTATGCTCCAAAATCATTCTATAATAGTTAAATCAATATAAAATATAAAATTTTAATTCAAATTATCCAAAGGTTTCCAGAGGTGTCGAGATGATGAGATGGGCCAGAAGGGTCCAGCCATTGAATTCAATTGGGGAAACTGGGCATCCACACAGGCCCACTATTAAAGTTGTTTATTCTTGGACCCTTCGCCGCCAATTTTCCTATTTAGTTTAGTCTGACGTCTTTCGTAAACGATCCATCTTGATTTTCTTTTTGGAATGGAAAATCCTGCAATAATTATAACATTTTTATGAGACTCATTTCAGATATTATTTTCTTGTAAGCTTAAGATAGAACAGAAGGGATGGCAAGAAACTTTTTGCATTAAACACAAAATCACACTTAAATTGATAGCCAGATGAAACCCAAGAGTCTCTCTCGATTCTTGACGACATATCTCTTTTTCAATACAGACAAATTATTCAATCATTACACCTTATATTTAATATAGCTCCATCAATATTCCAGAAACTAAATCAGTTCAACACCCTGCAGTTCCTTCTGATCTCCCCATTAGTCCCCGTGAGTGGACTAATATTCCCCATTTTCACCATAGCAGCAGCAAAGTCACTAAAAAAAGTAGCACGATTAGTACTGTAAGTCCTCACAAGTGCATCCTGAGATCCGCCATTGAAGAGTTCCTGGTCGGAGTGAAGCAGTCCACGTCGGTTCACTAGGCTCTGGTAATAGTTAAGATCGAACCCGGCCGGGGTCCCGTCAAGAGGAGCCAGATTGTTATCGCCACCAGAGGCCGGGCAGTTAGCTCTTCTAGTTCTGGCAAAAGCTGGGTCGATGTTGGTTTCGTTGTATATGCGAGTACGGAATGCGAGACACCTTGAAAAGCCGAGCGTGTGAGCGCCGGAGAGCGCGGTCATGTCACGGGCGCTTAGACCTTTGGCAGCGAACTGGGAAATGAGAGTCGAGAGACCGGCGAATGGTGATGGGATTTGAGAGTTGGCAGCGTTGAGGTTGGCTGTTCTTGAATCTCTTCGGCCGAGTGGCACTATCCATGTAGGTCCTCCTTGCTGTAAATTAAAATGTTTAGTTAATTAATTCTGTTCTCATTAATTATATCAGGATTCAGTAGAGTGTATAGTAACCGTATGTTAATCATATTATATACGTCTAAAATTTAATTAATTAATAGTAGGCGAGGATCTTGATTCACTGAGAGAATGTATGGTTTATCCGTTGACTCACTGTGTAACTTTAAAAACAGTACCCTGGCTTTATGGTTTATTTAATTTATAAATAAACATTAAGTATTTATTTTACAAAATTCTACCAAATCATCATTAATTGAGTAAATTAACAGTGATCTATATATGATATGATTGATGATACCGATTTGATCCTAGAAATATAAAAGATTAGAGATATAAAAATAAATTTTAGACAAAATTATTATTATTTAATATTTTTAACTTTTGTATTGTAGGTCAACAGCCATCTAAACCAAGATATAGTTGACTATGTGGAACGTTTCCATGCATGCACAAGCAATTGAAAAAGCTACGGTAAATACATTCTATTAGCATGCATAAATTAGTGTGATTTGAACAAAAACGTTGACTTCCATTATTAGAATTTAGAACTAGTCTGCATCTTAATTTATATAAATATTATTTTTATTCAATCTTATAATAAAATAACATTTTAATACTGACCAAAACGACTCCATCTCGAGTTGCAAGAGCCAGGATATCAGCACATGAAACGGTGGCGCTGCAGGCGGCTTCCACCTGAGTTTTAATGGCGTCGATCGCTTCGTAACCCCTGGTTGACTGGTTTGGTATTGCTGTCTTTTCGCCTGTAAAACTGCTTGTGTCGTCTAGTAGCAACGATGCATCGCAACCCTGCAAAGAGATTGTCAAAAATGATAAAAGATTATCACTCGAACATGCATCCACATAAAGTTTATCGATAGAAACTACTACCGTACTATTGATAGCCGGAACATGCATGAAATACTGGTTACGTTATTAATGCAACACGTACAAGAACCTTCGTTTACCTCTTGTGTGCAATCATGTAAGTTTTAACGTGACAAAACTATATAAATTAAACAGATGTGTTTTGGAGCAAAATATGATTTGATATAGCTAGTAAATGGTGAAGAACACATGCATGCAAAATAATATGGCATCCGGGATTTGGGTTCATACTTGTACAAAGCAGTCATGGAAGAATAAGCGAAGAATAGGGGCAGGAAGCCGAGAATCTCTAGCACTAGCTTGCCTCATTGCGTTGCGAACAATGGTTTGAAGATTAGGGCAGCTGGTTGCATAGAAGGTCGTAGAAAGTTGCGCATTGGCAGAGGAAGCTAGAAGGGATGGTATAATGGAGATTATAAGACAAAAGTGGGTTAAGGAAGCCATGAGTAGAGTAAAAACCTAGTGAAACTAAGCTCGAAATTAAGCTTAATTAATTAATTGCTTTCTGGTGTGAGTAAAGAGCTTGAGAAAGTTGTGTATTTATAGGCATAAATGAAGTAACTTGCATGGATAAAGACAGAGCAAAGCAAGAGTGGAAGACAGATGGCTAGCTACAGCTTTTGTGTTGTATGTGTTAAAATTTCAAACTTTAACGCCATTACGCGTTTTCATAAATTCTGAGTCCGACGGGGTTGAAAGAAGAGAACTGGGAGATGCTTCAAAACAAAAAACATTGTAGCAATATTGACTTGCTTTTTATTAAAAAAAGATTCATCTCATACAAACAAATTAAGATTCTCTGCCTCTTGCATTTTACTATTGATGTTAACAGTGATCCATTCATTAGCTTCTATGAATCTGGATGCAATGATTTCGCGTTTCTTAGAATTTTTATTATAATAAAAAGTTTTAGAAAATATAAAGAACCCCACTTACAAATTTCGAAACTGATCACTTTGTTCGTAATCAATCACAAGTTTTTATAACTATTTTATTTTTTATCATCGAGTAATTTGATATAGATTTTTTGGTGTATTATTCAAGAGATCTTGAGTTTGAGTCTCTCTTCTAATGCCAATAGGGATAGTCACTATAACTCTTATTCGATTGACAGTTTCAGAGTTTTAAGAGATTAGTTATAAGGTATCGAACACCCCTAATTATAAAAAAAAATTAAAAAAAAATCACAAGTTATTCTTGTAATTGTAATATAAATGAGAAAGTGCTCTAATTATTGGCAACTAGTCACCAGTCATACCCAGAGCCACCACGTTTGATTTGTTCAACAACTGTAACCGAAATTTTATCATAAAAATTTAATTAATTGGAAATAGTCACATTTAAAGTCAAATAAAGTTTATTAATGACATATAATATTTTGATGTATTAAGTCTCTAACAGTGTCCCTATGACTTATAGACCTTACTTGTAAAGCTATGTACAGATATTATTGCGAAGATCTTTATCTCATTTTGGATTTGGTATATGATAGACTCATTTGAGTCCACTTGTATTTTTTTTATTTTTTTGGATTTTTTCTAACTAATACTGAACTATTGACTCATTTTTTAATAATTAAGGTCGGAATAAGTTTTGAATGTATAAATAATTCGTCAAGAGTCAGATACAACTAGTTAGGGTGTTCGATTCCGAGTATCCTACATTTTTTGTCAAAATCAAAACTGACGATTCTTTGAAATTTGGAACCAGAATCGGAACCAACAGTTCTAGTTCCTAGGTACCCAGAACCAGAACCTGTAACAACGGTTCCGGTTATGGATACCCTGTAAAATTTATGACCCCCCAAAAGTTTTTAAAATAGCAAAAAAACCCTTAAAAACTAACAAATACCGCCTAGCACTTGTTAACAAAAATAAAATTATAAATTATAAATTCAAAATTACAAACTCCATTACTTTGTAAAGGTAAATTCTCAAAAGTCAAACCAACTTACTTTAAATGTTATGAAATATAAATATAAATGTATTCACATTACTTTTTCTACAAAAGTTTTAATTAACCCTCATAATCTTTAATTTTATTTTATATTAGTCTTAGTTCCTAGTTCTGATTCTAGTTCCTAACTATAGGAACCGGAACAACCTACCCATTGATGATTGGTTCTGGGTAGGAACCGGAACCAAACCCAGGGTACCCGTCAGTTCCGGTTCCAACCGGTTCTTTTGAACACCTCTAAAACTAGTGGTGGAAAAGTAACTCGCCCGGCCCGATCCGACCTGGTTCGCGGTGGGTTACTCACTTTGGCGGGTCGGTCCTAACTCGCCCGCCAACAAAGGTAGGCCGGGTTAGGGCCGCCATTTTTGGGGGATTGGCTAGTCCAGCTCGGCCCGCTGGGTTAGGCTGCAGGTCGGGCCGGGTCAACCCCCTTTTTTGATTTTTTTTTTTTTTTTTTTTTTGTTTTGTTTAGTTAACTTTTCAAATGAACAATTAACAATTTATAAATGAATAAATGTAATTGTTTTTAGTTAACTTTTTTTCAAATATCAATAAGTCAATTCTATTCAATTTTTTTTTTTTTTGGTTAACATTTCAAATATTAATTCAATTTTAATACATTAAAATTGTAATATACGAACAATTAAATTTATTCATTTATCAAAAAATAAAATAAGAAATTACAATAATTATTGCCTCATTAAAAACCTCATCAAGAAAAACTCAATGGGACAAAAACTTGGTAAGGAAAAAAGAGTGCAATAATTGACAATTAATTTACAAGTTACAATTTACAAAACAACTAATTTTGGGGTTAACTAGGACCTCCCTCATCCGTATTATCTATATTACAAAATTGAAATGATTCTATTAAAGTATCGTCGACAACCTCGTATTGATCTTGATGGCGCGACCGTTCCCAATCTCGAAGACATGTGAGGACTTCAATCATTTTTTGTGAAAGTTTAGTCCTCATTTCATTTAAAATTCTTCCACTTACACTAAATGTTTGTTCGGATGAGACGGTTGAGACAGGAACAGCAAAAATATCCAAGGCGAGTCTTGATAATACCGGAAAAATACATTTTCTGGTTTTCCAATATTCCAAGACATCAAAGTTAGCTCTTTGTTGTGGATATGTTGGTAACATTTCGGGAGTTCCCAAATATTGTTGAAGCTCGTTACTCTATGACTGCATAGCGGACAGTATATTCGTTGTTGTCGTTGGTGCTTCTGAAGAGGAGGTTGTGCCTGTGCTTCGGGTTCGATTCATTTTCGGCCTATTAATTGCACTCCAGGTGTAGAAGTCTTCATTTGTTTCTTCTAATACAACTTCCCTGTGTCTTTGTGGGTTCTCATACCTGTTTTCATATTGGAAATATATCTCTGCAAGACAATTTTTTACCTCTCCTATTTGATTGACAAATGCTACGTTTTGTAAATTTTCAGTTAATGTCTCCAAACCATTTTCTAAACCTTCTTGTTTAATTCTAGGATCAAATATGGCACCTAAACAATAAAGAAAAAGAATGAGTTTAAAATATTTAAAAAAAAAAAATTCATTGCCTTTATTGGTTCTTTTAAAATTTAATTGTTTTTGTTTTTTGTAAATAACTATGAAATTTTTATAATTGTATGTATTACCAATGGACTAGTAGGATAATACACACCAGAAAGTTGTAAAGTGGATTGGTAAAAAATTTTAAGAAAAAAATGAAATACTTTAGCTATTTGTCAATCATTTTCTACTAAATGATGAGGACCTCTATTATTTGTTACAAAATAACTAATTAAATTAGCATAAAGTAAACATGAACCAAGCATTAAATAAGTACTATTCCATCTAACAGGCATGTCTAATGCAAAAGTTCTAGGAGACATATTTGATTTTATATAAGCATCTTAAAATTCAACATTTCTTTTATTACTACCAGTAATCAAAGCTAAACAATCTCTAATTCTATCAATATTTTCTTTAATTGTTTTCATACCACTTTTTACAATTAAATTAATAATATGACATGCACAACGTTGATGAAAAAACTTCAAATTATTATAAAAAGGATAATTACTTTGAAAAAAATCTATAGCAGTAGTATTAGCACTTGCATTATCTCAAGTTAAACTTATCACTTTAGTAATAATATCATAATCTTCTAAAACTTCAACAATTTTATTATAAATTTGTTGACCACTATGATCTACATCCATTAATCTAAATCTTAATAAAGATTTATTTAATTTACATTCGTTATCAAAATAATGACTAGTCACACAAATATAATCTTGTTTAGCTCTACCACTCTAAATATCGGCAGTTAGAGCCACACTAACATGACAAGTATGTATTTTATTTTTTAATTCTAATTTCATTTTCTTAAACAATTTTATTAAATCATTTCTAGTTGTAGTTTTAGAATAACTTTTAAATCCTGGAAAAAATAAATTTTTAATAAATCTTTCAAAATATTTATCTTCAGCCATATTAATAGGTTGATTAGTTGCAGCAATATATAAAGCTAATTGTTCCCTATATACATCGGAATTATAACGTCAAGTAGTACTCATATTAGTTATTTGAGTTTGATTGGTTTCTCTATTTCCATGTTGAGCAATATGTTTACTAGCATGCCTTTTTAAAGTACTAGTATCATTACCTGAATCAGCTTTATAAACATTTCCATAATACTTGCATCTTGCTTTCTTCACTTGAACTCCATTTTCTGCCTCGTAAAACTTATTGAAATGCGTCCAAACGTTTGATGTGTGTCTGTTGTTGCTTTCGACAGCAGTTGATGAACCCGCTTCAGCTTGAGATGAAGTTGAACAAGGACGACGATTACGAGGATGACTTTTAGAACCACCGGGAGCTGTAGGTGTAGCAGCATGGGGAGGAATCGGGGGCATATTTTGAGGTGTATCGGATTTTGAGACCGGGAAAGCGGGACTATTTGAATCTTCTCCTGCATTCATGTTAGTAAATTCAGCGGGATTAGGACTATAGTAGTTTCCTTCCTCATTGAAATTGATAGAAGAGAAATATCTATCCATTGTAGTTGAAAAAAAATTGATGTAGAAGAAATAAAAAATTAAAGAAGGAGAATTGGAATATGGAAATTGGAAAATTGGAAATATGAATTGAAAATTGCAAAAACTAATAAAAATTAAAATAAGAGCAAATTGATAACAAAGAGATTAAGAGAATAATTGAGAGATTTCAATAAAAATTAGAGAGAATGAGAGAATTTGAGTTGCGAGAAAATACGAGAGTTTAGGGCCAATTTATAGAAAAAATTAGGAAAATAAAATGACAAAAAGGACCCCTCCAACTGCTATAAAACGGTTATATTTCAAGGTAAAAGGGGAATTCAAAAACACAAATTAATTTTAGTTTTTATTTTTATTTTTTTCGGCCAACTCGCGGGTCAACCTGATGGGTCGGCAATCCTTTCTTAGAAAGGACAAAATGGCAACCCGGTCCGTCTGAAATTGAACCTGACCCGTCATTGTGACGATTCAGATTGAATCATTTTTAATGCGGGT